GCTGGCGACTGGCTGTAGGAAGAGGAAGGAAAGAAAAAAAGAAAAGAGAAGAAAAAAAGAAAAAATTAATAAAAAAATTCTAATTTTTTTTAAAAAAATTATTTTAAAATATCTAAGTCAGCACCGGTCGTGCCACGTAGGACAGCCGGCATCCACGTCAGTGATTTCCGACCTAAATTTGCCAGATGGATTGAATTGGTACAAATGTAAAAAGGTTTAGGATTAAATTAGTCCAATTGAAATGTTTATGGCTGAATTGATATCACTGCAATAGATTTATGACTTTTTTGGTACTTTTTCCCGTTTAATTAGATAAATTATATTGATAGTTATCCAAGTCAAATTCGAAATAAATTGAATATTATTTAAATTTAAAATTATTGGTGGATATTCTTGAATCACACTCCAGATTAAGTACGAGGATCGAAGACAGCTCTCCTCCTCTCCCAAGTTTCAATTTTGAAAAAAATGATAAGAAAGAAGTTCATAAGCTTTAATTTATTATTTTATGTTTAACAACTTATGTTTAAAATCTTACAATTCGAATAGAACTTAAATAAAAGATAGGGAGAGAAGACCTCGAGTTTTAACTTAGACAATAAGATTGAATGAAAATAGCAAATAAAAACTATAATATATAATAAAGAAATCCATTTTTAATTTTAAAGGCAATGTGTAATCTTAATCTTTAAAGAAGGAAACTAAGCATTCTCAAGATTATATAGTAAGCTCGAAATTACGATATCATATACGCATGTAGCCTATATCGATACAAGAGACATCACAAACTTCCCCAAAAGGGTGGGGGACCGGTGAGATCGTCTGATAAATATCAAGAATGGGCATTGAACTCATGTCCTATAGGCCTAAATTTGTACCCCCACTTGGAGTTTCAATAATTGGCTCTGGTTAAATTAAAAGAAGGGAAGGAAATATCCTACGGATCAGGAATGGCGCGTGAAATTCGAGAAATGGAATGGGTGCAGACCCGAAATATACTGAGGCCGAACCTGGCTCTAATACCATATGGAATTTTGTGGTACCACTGTCAATCGTCTTAAAAGCTGAAGTCGTTCCATGAAACCGTGGTTTTGACATTTAGATATTCTAATGCTAAGGACGACATGGGATTGTAGCGTTAACACATGTCCACGTGATTCGGTGGGATGCAATTGGAATTTCAAAGCTTCCAAGACTATGGTCAGATCATCTAATAAATAATCTGTGGGCACTGAGCTCAGTTCTCACAGGCCCTATGTGTAGCCCACTTGGAGGCTTTTTCTTCTTTTTTGGGCAGCGACGACCTAAATTAATTGACCGAATCGGTGAACCGGGTGGAATGAACTGAACTAAGCAACGATATAATCAATAATTTAGTACTAAGTAATGTACTAAGAGGGGTGCGCCATTAATTTCAAAAAGTGGGGGGGAATAATTTGAGAGGAGGAAAAGAGAGAGAGAGGGAGAGCCTCTAAAGTCAAGATGGAGATGTGGAGCGTATGGGATGGGTGGTGGCTTTTCCAAAACAATGGGTGCATCGTGTGGGTCAAGCTCGCCATCAACTTTGCAAGTATATGGAGCGGCATGGAAATCGAAAGGGAAAATGAAAGTCACATGATCCACGTGGCCACCCCCTTTCGATTGCATCGTTTGGGAAAACAACATACATCTTGCCTAAGATTTTGGCCGTTCGTCCCGATCGATCATGATGCCATTATTCCATTTGTGGAGAATTTTGGTCCTTTAATTTGGCCTTTAGCAAGGCGGCGATCGCGCCTTGAAACATTGAAAAAATTTGTCTTTTTTGGGGGGCGTGGGAAACGCGAGCGGATTGCAATTGATGGGTTTTTGCAAGTTGCGTATTCTAAATGTGGGATGGTGGATCCTCGTTTTCATTGCATTAACATCTTGCTGGAGAGTTACGAGAGATGTTCTCCAAATTGGCTTTAGTTACTAGGGGTGTGCATTGGTTTCGGTCCGACTCGGAAACTGGACCGAATTGATCGGTTATGGGCGATTTTTACAGGAATCGATTTTTTTTTTTTGTTTCCAGGAAGGAACCGTACCGACCGAAACTGGCGTAACAAGCCTAGAATATACATATTTTTCATAGCAAAAACCATTAAAAAAATTGAAGACAAAGTATTAACCGAGCAATATGTTCTCGGTTCCTTATGAGTCTGTTTCGTTTTTATTTATTTATATTTTTTATAGCTGAAATCATAAAAAGAAAATAATAACACTGCCAATTCTCGGGACAAGCTGAGAATCGAACTGGAATTGGCTAGTCTAGTCCGGCCTAGTTGCCGGTTTTAGGGTGGATATGGTCAGTTGTCAGTTCTACAGACTGGGAACTGACCCTCTTCGGTCCGGCTTCCCGATTCCAGGATGGGAACTCACCCATTTTGAAACCGATCACTCCTATTAGTTAGTTACCTCCGAGGATATAAAACCGTATCAAGGGAACTACAGTCAAAAGCAATGGGAAATTTCCAAAAAAAAAAAAAAAGAGAACCCTAACAACAATCGACGCATAAAATCACAACTCTTGTCAACGCATCTCCGGAGACACTTGTTAAATCGAGAAAAGCGATTTAGGTTATCAGTCAAACACAACGCGAGGCGAGAACATGCATCGCAGATCATAGCTTTCCTCTTTAAACCGGATGCTTAACGAGTGGCCCCGAGAATGTTCGTCTGACGAGATCCAACCAATCAAGAAGAGGCCCCGGGACTAATTCCACAAATCCCACAGTTTTCACGAGTGATCTCGCTTTAGAGATTGAGGGAATAAGCATCAAGAAGCATCAAGAATGTGGTTTAGGTCAAAATTTGATTACGGGGATAAGCATCAAGAAGCGGAAGAAGCCCCGCGGTCAAAGTCAACGAGAACGGAGGGGGGCTCCAAAACTGTTGGCGACTCCCACTCCCGGTGCGCCCACAGCCCCAGCTCAAAACCGGAAACAGCTGCTCCCCTTTTACTCTTTCTCTTTTCTTCTTCCTTTTTAATATTCCTTTTTTATTTTCCTTTTTCAGCTGCGTCCGAAGTAGACCTATCAAAATAGATCATAAACCCATTTCTTAATCCATATATTAGTAAATGGATCATAAATGGGTTAGTTATATTTAGTAAATGGGTCATAAATGGGTAGAAGTCTAATATTAATATTAAATGGATCGTAAATGGGTCGTAAATGGGTTTACAACTGATTTAAACTCAACTTATCTCTCTCGCCCTTACTCAACCTTACGCTCACTCACTTCGCACTCTCATCTCAATTTGGGTATGAATTTTCTTAGATTTAATTAAATATGGAAGTATTTTAGCAATGTGGGTATGATCGGGTCTGGATTAAGTATGGATCGGGTCGGGCATGGGTCAAGAAAATTACATTACGCATAAATGAGTCATAAATGGGTTAATGGGTCAATTTGGGTCGGATCATTTATGATCCGACCCAAATCCGACCCGACCCATTCTTTTGATAGGTCTAGTCCGAAGGCTTCCCGAAAACCAGGAGCTCTCTCGAATTTCTTTTCTTTATTTTTTTATTTATATGATTTTAGAATATGATGGGGAAACCGACAGCTGGAGGTGGGGGACCACATGGGAGGGAGGTCCTCGTCCTTTTCTTGGTTCTGCGTATGTGGCGATTCGACCGCAGTCTGACACCTGAGCGTGACGGCCACGCGCTCCTCCGATTCCCGTTCAGTGGGGCCCTCTGGTTTCTGGGCCCCACTCTTGCATGGCGACCTCCCCTCGCCGCCCTGCCTTCCTCCACGCTCTCCGCCACCTGTCGTGCCCGCATCGGGCGAAATTACGGCTTCGGCCCTCGTATCTCTCTGCTTTCGGTCCCCGTTCGGTCCCATGGATAGACCCAACATTCTTCTTTGCAAAGTACGTGATGTTATTGAACCATTAGTGTTTGCTCCGGTGGTCACCTTCTTATTTAGGAAGGAAGAGATAGGTAGTTCGAAACTCTACCTTCTCAGGGGGATTAGGGGTGAAGACGTGTAGTTTTAGATGTGGATTTCGACTCTCACGCTCCATAAGAGGCAGGACAAAAAGTCTGAGTATGAATTGAGAGTTAGAGTAGGACAGATAAAAAAAAAGTACATAATGTTATTGGCAAAGGGAACCAATGGTTCATAAACTTTAGTCTAATATATAATGTCGTCTTTGGAATTTTGAATTATTTAATATGGTCCATGAACTTTCAAACATTTTTCAAGTGATTTAAGGATTACATTGAATATTTACTATTAGTATACGGATTATATTGAACAATATAAAGTTTAGATAGATTGGATTAATGTCAAAGGACCACGTTGCGCAAATCGAAAGTTCAGGGATAACATTGCACATCGGGTCAAAATTTAGGGACCATTTGTGCTGTTATCCTTACACCGGATAATTAAAGGAAAATCATAAACGACAAATCTTAGAGTGTTCTACTACCAAAGACCTGGGAACCCTTGAAGAAGGGGGAGGCCACACAAGCACGAGAGGCGATCAAGACCAAAAGTATCTAAAACCATAGGAAACCCTACTTTAACATCTATAATATACAAAAACAGAAGAAGAAGAAGGTAAGATCCTCTATTTTGGGGGTGAAAATAGCACCAAATTTCCACTTCATATTGGAAGAGTTTAGAGTCTATGCTATAGATAAAGCTGAAGATCAGAGACGAAGGTTAAGATGGATTTCTCTAATTAGGAATTGAATCGAGTTTCTCGGAGCGGGTTGATTGAGTCTCACGCGCCCGAGTCGTCGAGTGGTATCGGGTCACCGCTTCCCCCACCCCCAAGTTTCCTTGGAACGGGTGAAAAAACCAAAATCCACAGCAACCTCAAAAGAAAACCACAGCCTAAGTCCTAATCCGAAAACATGAAAGAGAACAAAAAAAAAAAAACCCTTCTATCATTCGATTTCCATTAATGTACATGTGCATATACGTATATATATGTACGTACGTATATTTTCCTTTCTCTTCACAGTTATATACCCTCGCACCTCCCATACCTTGGCAGAAACTCTCAGACTCCCCACTTGGCCGCTCCTTCTCTTGCGCCCCTCTTTGCATCGCGCGCTCTCTCTCTTTGAGGAGGAGGGCTAACGTGTCTGTGCTCTCCGTCTGACGAAGAAGATAGTGGAAGAAGAAGAAGAAGAAGAAGGGACGACGATGAGGATGAGTTGCAACGGATGCAGGGTGCTGCGGAAGGGTTGCGGCGACAACTGCAGCATCCGGCCTTGCCTCCAGTGGATCAAGTCGCCCGACTCCCAAGCCCACGCCACCGTCTTCCTCGCCAAGTTCTACGGCCGCGCCGGCCTCATGAACCTCATCGACGCCGGCCCCGAACACCTCCGCCCCGGTACGGTACCCTCTCTCTTCTTGTTCTTGTTCTTGTTTCCGTTTTTTTTTTGGTTGGTTTCGAACTGAAAACCTAATCTCTTTTGAAGCTGAAAGTTTAGATTTTTTTTCGCTTTCGAAGCGTGGGAAAAGACGAAAAATCTTGACTTGGGCTCGCATTGGTTTTTGGGTTTTGCAGCGATCTTCCGATCCTTGCTATACGAGGCCTGCGGCCGGATCCTGAACCCGATTTACGGGTCGGTCGGGCTGCTCTGGAGCGGAAGCTGGCAGCTCTGCCATGCCGCCACGGAAGCCGTCCTCAGCGGCATGCCCATCACGCCGATCGCCTCGGCCTCCGCCTCCGAGGCCTCCACGCCGCCCCTGAAGGCCTACGACATCCGGCATGTCCCGAGGGAGGAGAGCCCCGCCGCCGCCGCCGCGGTGATGGCGGCTGCAGGAGGCGAGGTCGACCGGGCCAAGCGGATCCGGTCTGGTGGATTCAAACGACCCGGAGCCAGGACGAAGGCTCAACGGCACCAGGTGCTGCCGCCGACGGCCGAGTGCTGTGACGAAGAGTCGAACCGGTCGCCGAGCCACCAGTCGTCGCTGAGCCACCAGTCGGAGCTGGGGGCTGAGAACGCGGAGGGCGGCGGCGACAGCAAGGATACGGAGAGCAACAGCATGGTGTCAGCGGAGACCACGGCGACAGCGGCCAAGCAGTCTCAGCTGCTCGAAGCCGACCCGGAGCGTCGGGCGGCGGCTGACCGGGAGGACAGAGCTTCGGCCGAGCCGGAGAGCGAGGTGGGGCTCGAGCTGACGCTAGGGTTCAAGCCGGTGCCGCGTGAGAGCCACGTGATGCCGGTCAAGAAGAGGAGGTTCGACCAGGGAGACGGAGCGTGCAGGATGGAGCTGGGGCTTTGACTTGACTCCCAAGCTTTCCTTTTCTTCCTTCCTTTTTTTGGCCGACGGCTCTGAGAATTTGGTAGAAGAGTCTTACATGTTTCTTTTTCTCTTTACTTTTGGGTTTGGGTTTGGTAGAAAAGTTATGCAACCCATTTTCTTCTTCTTTGTTTTTGGGTAATTTTCAGCTTAGGAATTTAGGACAATCACGTTCTCTTGTGAAACGTACAGAGTGACACATACCTTTTATGCAGAAGCAATATTGTGCTCAAGTGCTTCCTTTGTTGTCCTTTGTGGCACTAGAATCCCTAATGTCCTACACATCAAACATTCCGAATCCCATGTATGTCCACTGAAGAGATCATGGGTTTGAGCTGCAATTGTCCCGACTCCTGAGCATTTGGCCTCACAGAAGCAGGAGGGCACATGGAATGCTTACGCAATCTGACCCTTTGATTGCATGCCTCGCATGCTACTAAATTCCAAGTCATGTGAGAACAGCACCGCTTTTTGGTCTTTCTGGTTGGGTTACAGGATGGCCCAACCTCGTGTCTGCATCGCCTTTCTAGGTTCGACACACTGTGAACCGCGAAGCATATGGATGTGCGCGACGTTTGTGCGTCATCGTATGCTCGTCGGCTACATACGCTTGTGCGCACGAAGTGATGTATAAGTATGCACTCGAGGTTCTACTTGAGTCTCGCCATCTCAAACCTGTTCTCCTCAACTCAACATTAGGCTCGGAAGTTGTCAACCGGACGATCATATGGCGAAGTCGTATCGGTTTATTCGTGGATTTCCAAGTTCATTGATAACCCGAAAGAAGTCCAATCCCGAGACTCATGCACGCACGGAACTTACACGGTGAGGTACGGGAAATACAATTCGAGGAAATCTGTCTACTTGGCGACGAAGAGGGACTGATCATTAATGACATTAATGGGGTCGGTCATAGAAGTCAAACTTGGGGTTGTTATGATAGGAGACGGTCATAGGCAAAGAATGGCTTCAATGCGATCAGATCAAATCCTAGGAGGAGAATGAAGCAATTATGACTTACGAAGATAGAGAGAGAGAGAGAGAGAGAGAGAGAGCGAGAGAGAGAGAGAGAGAGAGAGAGAGAGAGAGAGAGAAGTCCTCTGGCAATATGACCAAAAGCACATGTGACTGAGCATGGCCACGCAGGTGATGGCAGCTGAAAAGAGCTGTCCTCATTACACCAAGCTGCAAACGAAAATGCCAAACCCAGTACAAGTCAAGTGCTCACACTGTAATAAGTCTGTCAAATTCTAGGATGAACTCGGGTCCGCCCATCGTGCACCGAATTAGCCGCAACCATAGATTTCATCGATTTTAGATGCATCTTACAAAATTTTAGTGGTTTTTCCACGTTAGACCTCGATATAAAACCATCTTTTTTGTTTACGTTAAATGGGTCACGATATTGGTTAACCTTGTTCTCCCTCCTGTCATTTCAGGAAAATTAGCAATTCCTCGTTCAACAGAGAAGAGAGGTCTATATGCTTAACCATCTAAGTTTAGGTCATGGCCACAAAAAAAGAAAAAAGAAAAAAACTTGTGTTCGAAATGATTCCGAGACAAATGGTCTTAAAAAGAAAAAGGGCCCGTGATCTCGCTCCAAGCTCAAATATCGGTTATCGGTAGGTAATAGGAAGAATTTGCGATCTAATCAAAGCAGAAAATCGAACAGATGCGTAAGACAACGGCATAAGAACTATAGAAGTATGTTTCTGTTGATTTCTTGTGCATCTAGTTTTTCCTCTTTCCATTGGTATTATCTAATTAAGGAAGAAAAAGGTATGTCCAATTTCCAATTTTCCGTTCTAGCTGACAAAGTTCTACATATGCATCAGCCTTTAGCTTGTCTAAAAGTTTTCCTTGTGGAATTGGAAGCGAGTTGATGACTCTACGCTGAGTTCTTGACAAAGCTTTTTCAGTGGTTTTGTGAGCATCGAACTCCCACAATAGAAAACACCTGCAGGAAAATTATTACCGACATATTAGACCCGAATTCATAGAATGTTCAAGTTTCAATAGTTATAAAAATTGCAGGTTCATTTTTCAAACTGACTAGAACAACCAAATCGAGTGCCACTATGTTGACATGTTCTTCGGACTGGACACCACAATGTCGTACCTATACGAGATGACTCGTGCCGTGTTGCCATTTCAGAGAACACCCTTCTCCAATTAGGCCTTGCAAAGTGCGTTTTTATCTGTCGATTGAGCAACGTTAATGGACAGCCTAAATAGGTGCATGTGCAGTGAATGTTTCTTTGTTTTTCTTTTGGGTGACTAACTGGGAGTTACCCGACTTTCCGAGAAGATGTCGACGCCGTTCTTCGCATGCTGCAACTTTTGAACCATGGCAATGAGTGCTGATCTTGCATCTCCTTCCTCATATACAGAAGTCAAGTAGTTGTGCATCTCTATTACATTCTACAACAATCACCAATACCCAAAGTGAGATTTTAGTCGAAAGACTATAATTAAAAGGAGAATTCATCCCACTTGGTAGTTTTGGAAATGGCAAACCGACATGATCATCGCTTTCTGCAATATCATCCATGACGCCCTTAAACCACTCGAAAGAGTCTTGTTCCCTCGTAACCCAGTAAAAGTATGCTCTTTTAGGACCTTTTTTTGGCCCTGGTGATTGACGGTGATCCGAATCCTGCATCAATAAGTTTTGACAAATGCTCGTGCTAATTGAATTTTGAATTTGCTTGTGTGTATGTGTTTTTTCCCCTTCTACTTACAGCTTGGAGCTTATTTAACTTGACGTGATTCAGGATATCTTTTATGATGCTGATGAAAGGAGTCGCTCCAATGCCGAGACCGATGAGTAGGAGGATGTCGTACTTCTTGTAGTCCTGAGCCGGTGCACCATATGGTCCCTTGATGAAAATCTTCGGAAACCTTCGAAAAAAATGAATATCTATCAGAGCGAAAACATTTGCATTGAAGGTGTGACGGAATTTAGCCAGAATTTTCACTCACTTCTCTTGTAATTCTTCCAAGTTGTGGGACGCTCTCGTGGCCATCTTCATTAGACCTCCCTTCCCCGGTTTTGTAATTGGTGGTTCACAAACCTGGAAATTTCTCATTGAAGGAGATGAACGTTGAGTTCGAATCTCGACATAAAAATGCAGAGATTTTCTTTATATATCTTTCGACCAGAGTCCACAGGTTGTGCAATCAAAACGCCAACGAGAAAATCAATAAAATGTACCTCGGCGAATCTGTTCCTGAGCTCTGTAGTCCAATCGCCCAAGGCTCGCATGTGAACACTCAAGAAGGCATCTCCCGGTGCGGAAGTAATGGAGAACGGATGCCTGGCACGAGCAAAAACACTGACAGTTTCAGCAATAAAGTCATAGTGGCACGACAAGTAAATAGGTTTCAGAGATTATGTTCTAGGCACCATTCGAACTTTGATATATCGGGGCATTTGACGAAAAGGTACATTCCGCTGTCGTACTTGAAACCTGGAGGCTTGCTCATGTACAATGCAAGGACGTTTCCAGAATAAATAGTGGCCTGAAAGTTTTTCAAGCCGAGCATGAACATATCGTAGCAGTAACTAAGGTTCGTGTAAAACAAAAAGGAATGTGGAAGAAACCAGTTCAGTCAAGTGAGCGATACCTTAATGATATCAACTTTATGTTTGAGTTCAGGAGTGGATGAAAATGCTCTCTCACTTGAATAGAGTAGGATTGGGATCGTCACATACATCCATGCCTGCATAAATTCCAACGGTGTAATACTTCTTGCCGTGTTTTCAGATGAATGACAGTACTGCCGGAGAAGTCAGACCTCATTAATTGCCAGTGAACAGAATAAGGAATTAGACCATTGTATACCTACCGTTTTCGTGTACCAAGGCCGACTGATCACGAGGAAGCAGCCGTGAAGTATGAAGAAGACATAGACAACAGCTAGCAAATGATGCGTGTACCAGAAGGCATTAAATCCTGCTAAATGATGGAGCTCCCATGGTAGCTTTATGACGTTTCTCCTGAACCAATGAGTTGCCAGTGTAAAAGAGAAGGCCATCATCACGAACATGAGAGCCCCGGTGATGCTGGAAAAGTTATTGACTAAATCGATGTAATGAGGTTGCATATTATGGAAGGCCGGGCCGAGACTTTCCATGAACTGTGTTTTCGGGCATGAAGTTAACCTAGGGAAGTTGCACGTAAAATGCATTGCCATGTGAACGATAGATCCTATAGCTATGGCCAGCGCGATTATCTTGTGGAAGTTTATGTTGTCGTCGAATGGTATGAAGGTGCCGAGGAAGGAAGACCGCAGCTTCGTGAGAGTTCTTCTGCAGACGGGGAGGAGGATGAGAGCCATGTTGAGATTGAGTGTCTCGGCAGAGCCCTTGGCGAAGCAAAGACAATAGCCCTCGATGTTAAAGGCGGGGCTGTGCCTCGTTTTGTTAAACTTCCAACGGAATAGGATCATGTTTATGATCAGCCACAGCCCGACAACCCATATTCGCCTCCAATTCTCGTGGATCCTTTCGATGTTCTCGTGCACGAGCCGACTCATCGGGTTTCTGTATCCTTTGGGAATCATGGTTCTGGTCAGGTTTTGAGACTTCCCTGTCATCTTGTTCCCTTCATCAGAGTTCACCATTTCTTTCAGTAGAGTTTCTAATTGCCACATCTGAAAAAACAAAGAAGCGATGAACAACAACATGGGAGGAACACGAACTCGAACAGGACATGATGGACTGTCTGACTCTGTACCTCGATGTATCCTTGATGGTCGGGATCAAGTCTGTCCATAATCAAAGATGCATAAGATGTTGCTTGCTGCTGGAGATTCGACAGCCTATTCGAGGCAGCGCTCAACGCTATAACCTTTGAAAAATTTCCAGTCCATGATAAAAGGAAACGAAAGGACATTTTAAGCAAGAGATTCATAAGTCTCCTTTTGCCTCACCTCTTTTACCTCATCCTCAGTTAGCCTCCCATCACCATTCTTGTCACACCTGCCACATTCATCACGAAACTTCATCACGTGTACTACCGGCAATGCAATGTACAGTTTAGGTTGCGAACAAAAAGAGGAGTTGGATAGGAGTTGCTTTACATGTCGAAGAATATCTGCAGCCGGGATTCGAGATCTTGATTAGTCATGTCTTCCCAAAATTGTCTCAATTGGTTTTTTGATATTCCATTCTCGACGTTCACTTGCCTCCGTCTTGATAAGGTGTCGAATAACTCTCCTGCAAATTC